CTTATCCCATGAACTTAAATTCTTAAAACCACAAAGTTTAGTAACATTTGAGCTCAATTCATAACTGTTTTGCTTTTCTTAATCTTCTTATAACATAAACCAATGGGGATATATGATTCATCTTTACTAAACTGTTTTTGCCAGATTTGGGTATCATGGAGCAATGCACATACAATTCATGCTGGAATCAAAACAAAATATTTTCACACCTACTTATAAAACATTTACAAGTTCATCATAATTTTGTCTAATAAATAAAAAGACAAAAGAATGACTATTTTCAGGAAAAAAATTGCTTTTTAAACACTTGAAAAGATGCAGAAACTAATAAAATATTGTAAAATTACAATCATATGTACCTGCCATTCCTATCAGATTAGCAATAATCAAGTGCAACACATATACATACTATTGGTGAGGCTGTGGAGAAACAGGTATTTAAAAATATTATTGGTAGAAGTCCAAAATGGTACAATTCTTATAGAGGATTATTTGGCAATATCTGTCAAAACTATAAATACATTTACTGTTTGATGTAGCAAGATCAAATTTAAAAATTTACCCTGCAGATTATACTTGCATACAAACATAAGAGCATATATACCAGAATATTCAGTATAGCATCATTGGTTTATTAAAATCTTTTGACATCACAGGCTATATAATATACACACATTCCAATACTATGTAGACAGAGAAAAGAATGAGAATGCTCTCTGCATTCTCAATAATAAAAGAACTCCAGTATATTTTAGAGAAAATGGCAAGATATGTAACATGGTATATGTATACATTACCTCTTATAAAAGGGGGAAATAGATAAAAATGCACCTCAGTGTGTTTGTGTGTGTTTTCTTGTCTATGCTTAAAGAAACAGTACCAAGACAAATAAATTAATAAAAGTGGTTATCTGTAGATGCAGTAGGGTAAATAGGAATGGGAATGAGACCTTAGAAAATACCTCCTTATATTGTTTTGTATGTATTATCTGTACACCTCAAAAAATGTAAAAACATTCTTTTTCTACACTGTCATGAATATTTACAAACATTTGCTAAAGAATGCAATATACTATGGTAAATTTTTGGAAAGAAATTCAGTTTTTTCAGATGGTTAACATTGCTGACACAATTCATAACCAGTATGACCAACTTAACACTCCAGGCCAGTGACTCAGGTGTTCAAATAGATCTCTATTTTCCTACGCTAAAAGGCTACTTACAGAGGAGGGGAAGGCATTGCAGAAAAAAACAGAAACTACAGAAAATATAACAAAAATAATATTCACTGAGAAGTCTATTATACAGATAATCGCTAACATCTTAAAATATTTCTATAGTCTCTTTTTCTCTGTTCTTTTTCATACATTTTATGTTGCTATCTCGTACTTGATACACTGATATTATAGACACTGACATTAAATATACTGAAATACAGTACCTGTGATATGGATATTATAAACAATAGAGAAATTTTCACAGATCATAAACTGAAGAGGATATAAAGAAGGGCTAAATTCCTTCACCTATTCATTCAAAAACTGTTTGGTACCAGAGTATGTAAGGTAATGCATATGTTAATTTGTTTGATTTAGTTATTCCACATAAAACATTGCATTGCATGTTGTTTATCATAAATATATATAATTTTGATCTGTCAAATAAAAAGAAAAATTATCAGGCACTTACATGTGCCAAGCACTGTGTCATGAACTAAGAATATGGTACTAAACAACAGTGACATGATCCCTGCCTTCACACTGCTTACAGTTTACAACAGGAGTTCTCAAATTTTGGCCCCAGGACCCCTTTATAAACTTTAATATTTTAAGAACCCAAAGCACTTTCATTTATAGGAGTAACAGCTATATTTATCATGTTATTCACTTAAACTAAGAGTTTTAAAAAACATATCAATAAGCTTTTTATATTGTGTCATTCACACAACTACTTTATGAACATATTACGTTTCATCACATAGAAAATTTATACATACATACACAAATATACCTATTTGTGTATATATAAACAAATATACATATACACAAAAATATATGTATTTGTGTATATATAAACCAAATGTCTAAGACATGAAAATTGATATGTGTATTCTTATACATGAAATACTGTTCATGAAACAGTTTCAGGGTTGTTAAAAATTAAAAATTTACCAAAAATCATCTGACAGGTAACTTCTGTGAAAATAGAAGAGAAAATCTCATGATAGTTCAAGCGATTGAAAAGCTTTTATTAACATGATATGTCAGCACTGTAAAAATAACTTCAAAAGCCTCATTCCCCATAATATTGCTGCTAGACTGAAATTCCTATTATCATTCTCAGTAGAGTCAAATAAATACCCATTCCATGGAATCTCCTGGTCATGATTTCTAAGGTTAAATGCTACTTTAGGCTGAAACACAGAATATTCTAAAAGATTTACATTTACATTCAGATTTTTCCATATCAGAAATCCAATTATATTCAAAACATTAAATATGTTTTTCTGAAAATGTTCTCTAGATCATTTTAGTAGGTTTGGAAAACATTTTTTACAATTATTTTATAATTCTTCCAATTCAAAGCCAAAAAATAGCATTATTAATAGAATGCAGTGTTTTCAAAAATTTTAATGTAAGGAAATTCTATACTAGTGTTCAGTTATTTCATATTAGATTTAAAACTGAACATAAGGAAGCCCCTCATATGTATTTCCCTGAGAAATCACAACATGCAAGGGATAAAATGGAGCACCATCATTTGCAGCAAATAGATTATATTCCTAATAAATGCAAAAAAATAAAATGAAAAACCATTACAATGAATCAGAAATTTGATAACAGAGGCTGTATATACGATTCATGTTTTCAAAAAGGCATTTTTATAGGCTAATAACAGCCAACTTAAAAAAAATCCATGGGAGGAGGGTGAAGAGAAATCCCAGTGACTATGAAAGTACCTAAAATGCCTAAAGTAAACCTAATAGGAATGTGAAAAGCACATAACAGAAAAGAGACTTTATTCCAGCATACATACACATACCACCCCCCCCACCACCACCACTACCACCACCGCCACCACCGCCACCACCAGAATAGAGGCTTGTATCTGGTTTCTAGATGGAAAGAAAGAACATTATCGTAAAGTTGTCAATTCTTAATAAAGTAATTCATGGGTTCAATAGAATTTTTATGGAATCTGGGAAGGTAATTTTGAAGTAGACACATAAAGGAAAAGTCAAGAAAAATTTTGAAAGGAAGAATAGAGATAAGGGAATTTACCGAATATCAAATTATATCATAAAACAACTGAAATAGCAATATCTTGGTTTCAGAAGAGAAAGACATAGCAATATAACAAAATTAAGAGTTCAGAAACAGATCTAATATGTATAAGAATTTATTTTAGGATAAAAGTGCTCTCAAACCATGCAAAAGTACAAGTAATTTAAAATATTTGGACAACTGATCATCCCATTGGGAAAAAAAACAGGTTTCTACCTCATTATCAAGCTTAATACAGTTTCAGATTAAAATGAAACATAAACCATAAAACTGTTAGTTTGCCAAGACCTTTTTTACACTCTAGTTCAGGGAGAGAGAAGGAAATGGAAAAAAGCCATTTCAGACAAGGCACAACTTCCAACAAATAAAAGGAAAGAGACAAACAGATTTTTACTAAATAAAAACTTAAAATTGTCTGTGTGACACTACAAGGTTAAAAAGTAAGAGATGAATACAATGCAAAAGATTACTATCCACATCACAGAGTTCCTTAATCTAAGAAGCAAAGTTCAAAAAGTAACCAAAAATTTGAAAAATGATGCAAATAGGCAATTTACAGAACTATTAATACCTATAGGTAATTGATTATGAAAAGTAGACCGACTTCATCTAGGAATCTACAGAATGTTTTAATGAGCTACTTTTTCAGTTATCTAACTGGCAAAAAACCAAACCAAAACCAAAACAAAAACAACAAAAACAACAGCTCCAGCTAAGAATTTTGTAACATTTCATACCGCTTGTCTATTTCATTTATTTGCCAAGAGATGTGAGACTATACTCTTTATTTGAGAACAAGAAGTCTGAAAAGATGGCACATTTTCACCAGCAGGACACCTAACTGTGCAAGATGACAAAGCTAGCATCTGCTAACAGTTGGTGCACGGGCCAGGGAATGGTCCTTCCTACCCCATGCTTGGTCAGTAGACTGACTATATGGTCAGTTAAGGAAAAGAAGCTGAAAACATCTTGGCTGGCAGAAACATTCCTTTAAATTTTTCCACCAAATTAAATCAATTAATTGATAGGCTAAAGATTTGCCTTATTCAGGCTACAGATACAGAACATACTTTAGGAGGAAGTATTATAGACTATTCCCCCAGAGGTTATAAAACCCCAGTACAGGTTTAGAGATCCAATATGTTACATGGGTAATAGAGAAAAAGATCAAACAAACAAATAAAAAAACCCCACCAAAGTTGAGAATCAGAGACTTCAAATATTGATAGTTTAAACTTTCCCAAATACCAAGTACAGCACATTAATACAGGTATAGAATACAAGAAAAAAGCACTGAATCAATACTTTCACATGAATTAATGTGAACTGATTCCAAAATAGAATAAAATACAGTACACTCCAAGGAAAAGAAGCCCTTCATGCTACTCAATAGATATTCATTTTCTACTTTTCATTTTACAATAAATCTGTATGTCAATAAAACTGTGTTAACAGTACATCTTCAACAAGTATTTAGTAAAAAGCCTAATATAATGTTGATTTGCCTTATCTGTACCAGCCGTAACTTTTCTTGTTTGTTGACAAAATTCAATCTCTTAAATGTTTCAGAGAAATGATTGAGCATGTTAAAACTTAGGTATTGCTATGTAATCTTTAATGCATAATGACTAAACAACATTTTGAAAGAAATAATATAAATAGCTTAGTATTTTTTATTGTATCTTACATTATCTTATGTGTAGTCATGAACACATACCTGATATAGGTCTTTCTGAGGCAAAGGTGGGGATCGTTCTTCATACACAGGAGGTGGTTTATGTGTGGGTGGAAGGTCAATCCTGCATTGCAAAGGTTAAAAAATGTGATTGCCACATTTAGGAAAGAAAAAAAAGCAAAAAAAAAAATCAAGGTTCTCATAAGGTTTGAGAATATTTTCTTCATACTATATATTTATATGAGCCTACATGTTTAATTCACTTCTTATATTGCCATTAACCTATGAAAGATGAAAATAAAAGTAAACATTGGTTTTTAAAGGTTCCCCTATGTAGAACCAATCATGTTTAAAGAAGAAATTAAAATAGAAGAATTGAAATTATTAAGTAATTCAGTATATGACTTTACTTAAACAGTGCATATTTTAATATTTGACTATGTCCATCAACATTTTAGAGATAATCAAATGTGTGTCACCTTTCCTCCAAAGTGTCATAATGAAAAAAGTTTATACTTTATTTTAGAAATACTTCCAAACTGATTTTCAAAAGCTCTAGCACTCTTAGAATATTCACCAGATAATATTTTCAACCTACAGATCATTATAAATTTTGCCATCTGAAATAAACAAAACCATCATTACATTTTTAGGAAATGTATTTATTTTTTTCAAAGTGATTTGATCTATCAAAAATATCAATATTTTCATATATTTTAAATATTATTTACTTATAACAAAGATAGGTTTAATATACCTTGTAGTTCTCTGCATTTTACAAAATTTTATAAATATATTCTCATGCTTTTGAAGATCAGAGATAACATTTTCAGTACTTGTGCTTAGTAAATCAAACAAAAAGTTACATTACAGGATAAGGAGAATGAAAGCTATAGATGCTGAATAATAAATTCTCTGTGGTCTAATAATGTCTCAATATGAGCATAAAATAGTATTTTAAATGACTAAAACTTAAGTGATAAATAAAATGGTTATATTAATTTGTTCGCCTACCAGTAAATTATATTTTTAAAATTATAGAAAAGCCTAAGATAATCTCAGAATTAAGATTAAGTTAAGCACATGCTAGTCACTCTTGAAAGACTGAAGCACTCCAGTCCCACAAGCATTATACTGAAAGAGCAATTTACCATCCTTTATTTAAAATAATTGTTCCTTCTTATCTAATTAAAATTGCAGCAAATTTCTAGCTCCAACGTGCCATAGGCGATTTAGGTGAGAAAAATGAGGCCCATTGAGATAAAGTAACTTACTTGTTCATGGTCATAGTACTAATTTGATCATGACAGAGCTGTAACTAACACACAAGTGTCTTTGATCCAAAGACTAGTGCTAGAATTGTGCCAAATTAGAGAAGCAAAGACATACAAAGCATTTTACAAAGACAGAAGAAATATATTCTTTGAAAGTCAACCTTATATCCTAACATCAAAACATTAATAAACCACATAAGAAATAATGCCACTTGTAAAGAGCTTCACTTCACTATTTATAAAATATTGTCTTATTCTACTCTCCTCTCAACCATGTAAAGTAAGTGGAAACAGCACTATTCATATTTCTCAGATGAAGTAACAAAGCTGTTGATGGAATTAAGAGAACTGAGATACCAGTCATCTGATTGGGTGCAATTTCTGCCTTACAACTCTATCTCAATGACTAGGCCAAAAATACTGCTTATTCTTTAAATAAGAAGATATATATTTCATAACTCACCAAACCAAAAAAAAAGTACTTTTCTTAAGAAAAAAGTTTTAAAACTCAATGTATTTAATAACTTGATGGTTCAAAGATATATCTATACATAAGACACACATATACAATCTGAAGAAACCATTAAACCTTCAAAGATATTTTTATATGTATTTTGGTTACCACTTCATGAAAGGCCTGCATTTCTATTGAGAAGGCAGGACAACATAAAGTATTACTATGTTACCCTTTACAAAGATGTCTAATACACTCTAGGTGGAAAATGTAAAGCTGTTCTTTACGTCTAGCAATTTACCGCTAGACAATGTTCATTTACCAAGATACAGTTTGAGATATTCCGATGAAACTATGGTCATCTAACAAAGCCCTAACATTAACCTTTCTTCTATCCCTTAAGTGCTTTATGAGTAGCTATAAAGGTAAATATAAAGATTGACACATACTGATATTCATAGCTGAACAAAGGCAAAAAAGTTACCTACATTTTGTCAAGATAGGATGGTCTCTTTTTTCGAGGAGTCAGCAGCACAGTCACAAAGATAGCAATGATGAAAAGAGCAAGAACAGCTCCGATTACTGCTCCAGCTACAGCTATGGAAGAGGTCTGCTTAAATGGAATATCTGTAAAGTAACAAAAATTAGGCTTTTCAAATAATCTTAGAAATAATTCTTGAAATTGTATATCTTATGTGAAAACTATTTGACTGAAGTATGTTATCTAACAGCCAGGTTAGAGGACCCCAAATTTGATTCATTAGGTTTAGTGGCATTATGCTAAAACCCTCCCTTCTTCCTTGTATTACATTAATAGACAAGCTTAATTTTTTTTTAATTATGTAAATATTCCCAGTCAAATATCACTAAGAAAATATATTCTCAATGTGCAGAGTATCTAGGGAAGATAGAGAAAAAGATGAAAGTAATTTTAAGTTTGTATTCTAAAAGGTAATTTAAAAAATCAGTATGCTCTAGTAGAAATAACCCATAATACAGACATTTAATACTTTTATTCTATCATAATTAAAAAAACTCTATTAACAAAATCGAAAATTTTCAGAGGCAAAACAGAAAATATCCCAGATAAAAAAAAAAGCATAGTCAAAAAGTTAACATTATACATCTTAAGATTTGAAAAATATTTAAAATATAAATATTAAAACAGGACTTGCACAAAATTTCCTTTAATTCATGCACATTTAATACAAAATACACTAAAAATAGCTTCTCTACTACAATAAATAGAAATTCTCACTATCTCCTGGTGACAGACATGTCATTTCTGAATATCAGTTTCTCTTTCCCAACTGCACCACAAATTTTGTAAGAAAGTATTTAAAAACCATTATTTGGCTGTTAGCATTTCACATTTTTCCAAAAAATTGAATCACTATTTTATGAACTCCCAAATAAGGGAATCTACTAAAACTATTACAAGTACTACATATTTTCAAATGTAAATATAAGAAATATAACAAAACAACCTTTACGTGTATTAACTTTGACAATTTCAACTATATTAAATCCATTAACTAAATTTTGTGGAGATTCAGGAATTCCAAAGTTCCTTCACACACCTGATTTTGTCTTTCTTACTAATAAAAAAAGACACTGAGTTAACATTCTATACATAAAGATACCGCAGTTCTCAAGTTAAATCTGCCAACGCCATTCAATCGTAGTAGAAAAAACAGAGAGAATTAGGTTGGAGCAGGGTAGAACCCTCCACTGTTACCCCTTGTTCTAAGAGAAGAATATATTCATTAACATATATAATGTAAACTAATGAAGAGGTCTCCACTTTTATTTAAATTGACACAATCTTCACATAGACTCTTAAATAACTGCAATAATTCTTAGGATCCAGACATGGCAAATTTACAGAACTAGCACTGTTGGTTTTGGAATATGTTTCACCTACTTACCATGATAGTATTCCCATATAAATACATATTTAGAAGTATTTTCCAATTCTGTTTTTATTAACATGGTATTTTAGATTGCCAAAAAGAATGTTTTACTTTCCTTCAAATTATAAAGATGTCTTTAGGATACTAACAATCCTGAAGACATTTATTAATGGCTCATTTTATTAAGACTCATTTTGAAATAAAAATCTTACACCAGTAAGTGCAAGTCACTCATTTCAATAACGTTTCCAATGAATAGAATCTAAAAATAGTAAAAAAAAAAAAAAAAAAAAAAAACACACACACACACAGAATTATTCTGAAACACTATAACCCACTTAATCATTCATGGTGACACTCATTTGCTAATACAAGCCTTGTTTATCTATTGTTACTCAATTTTTAAATCTATCTCCATTTGAATATGTGCCAGATAAGAAAAATATCTGAAACCCAGCACAGTCAAATGTTATTCTGCATTTGTATATGTGAAAGAGATTTGGGATAACTTATGGATAATCTATATTATCATTTTCCCCACCATAAAGATTATAGCTTTGACCACTTAATATAGCCATAAAGTAGATGGTCCTATTCAATCCTTAATAACAGGTAGGTTGAAACTATTAAGGTTATGCAATTTGACCAAGGTCATACATCTCTACTCAATGGCACAAATAAAAAATACTCATTGTCAAGGACATTATTTACTCCACACCAGGTATTCTCAAGGTCTCCCTCTCTTGGAAATTTTTCTTTCTCTAAAGATGGCCTATCATGTTTGCCCAATTGTACAGAATTTAACTTTTTGTTCTTATTTTGATGATGACAATGTTAATACCATATTTATAGGTTTTTTTCTAACTTACTTTTGAAAAGTTCACGTTACTCTTTGAGTGAGGCCAAATTAAGATTCTCAAATCTAGAAATCATTATAAATTTTTCAAACTATACATCTCTTCTAAGAAAACCTTTCATTTAATTTTAGCAGTAATCTGAAGTTTGGTAGTGCTCTGTAATAAAACATGATAATGTAGACTTTTAATCTCTTAATTTCCAAATTTAAATAGATACTATTTTTAAAAACTTGAATACTTGTCTAAATAGATATTTCTTAAACATTTTAATTACAATCTATCCAATTCTATCACACTAGTCTTATAATTTCTAGCTCTAGGATTCTATAGCTGAGAGTTGACTGTATGTATATCACACTTCCTTCTATCTTAATTTGGGCATCTTCATTTCACCTGGTTCCATTCATTCTTTATCATATGTATCCTCTCTTTCTCACATACCTCTTTATAGTATTAATAGTCTGGCAGGTGCTAAAATGAGCAAATGGAGGAAAAACTAGGTATGAATCTATTTCCCAACTAACTTACTTTATTTAGATAAACCAATTATGCTAAATATGCATATGGGGTATATTTCACATTTTCTTTTCCGATTCTTGTAATTGAGAACAAAAGAGGTTAAGTACTTAATGTGTTAATAATTTAAGGGTATTAACAGTTGATAAAAAAACAGCATGAACGCAAAGGAGGAGCACAAATCTTTTGTATTCAAGTAAAGCATTTTGATGAAAATTGATAATTTAGCCCCAACACTATTTCCCATAAATCCTAGCCCAAATGGACAAGTATTCTGATGAAAACTGAGAATTTAGCCCCATATCCCAGCCCAAACACATACATACATACTACATAGACTGTATATTCCAACAAAACCACTACAGAGGAAAAAATTAAGTGATAAAATGTATAAACATGGGATTTTTAAACACTAAGGTAGTTTACTGAGTGAATGCCATGAACAACATTACCATCATCCTAAAGAGATGTTCTACTAAGAGCAGTGACATGCTTACAAGAGGCAGAAAACAAGACAAAAATTATAAAATATTTGCCATTACAAGACTGGTGCAAGCATTTCTAAAAAAAGACTAGCTTGCTTTATCACAGTAGTAATGGCAACTCATATTCACCGAAAACTTACCTCCAAAAATAGAAAAAGAGCATTCCCCAATACAAGAGTATGCTACTGCCCCTAAGATACTACTGTATATACATGTCTTCTGGAGAAGATGTTTAAAAATCAACCAGTTACCAATGAATATAGATATAAGAAATTAGTTTCATTACTTTTTGGGAAACAAAAGTACACAATATTACAGATAATAAAGTTTTTTATCAAACACAAATAATTTTTTAAAGAAAAGCTATTCAAACATATGTGTACACCTAATTCACATCTAAAACTGAGACATAATGCCCTATGTTTTCTCTTCAGGCCCTTTGACACAACTTCAGTGATGACATCACAGATTTATGTGTTGGTCTACAAACTTATCTTCCCACCTTTGATTTGCTTCCATACTACGTTATCACTGTATTACTAATTTTTTCCCCAAACAATTCCATTCTTCATTTTTAATAGACCCTTTAATGTTTATTTTCTCAATGTGACTTTTTGATTCAGTGATTGAAAGGTCTCATATCATGATCAGTGTATGTTGATACTTGGTTTTTAGATGTGATTTGTGCCACCTCACAGAAACATAGATTCAAATGGAAGAAACACATTGTTTGGATGTTAACAGTTTTCATCCCAATCAATATTTTTAGAGCTTGTCTTTATGTTCTGGATATTTGGTTCTTCACTGAGACCTTTCAATCAGTGAATCAAAAAGTATAAAATCGAAAACAAAAAATGCATGAAGCACATTTGACCATGTAGTTTTACCAAAAATGTTTTAGTAATAAAAGCTGACTTTTAAAATGAAATGCAATCACACTATTTCCCAAAATCTGTTTTCATGGGAAAAAATTAACATGTTAAATATATTGTCAGATAGCTAAAATTTCCATTTTGTGTATTTTATAATATATGCAGCAAACTGCTATAGTAGTACATGTATAATTGGAGTACACACTAATTTTGAATGGGTAGGTACACTCAAAGGAGTTTTTACTGATCTAGAGAAGAGAAAATAAAAACTAGAATAAGATGTGAGGTTATGGTAGATAGATAAGTTGATAGGAAGCAGCATGACAATTACTAAGACATCTAAGTATCTAAGTATATGATATAGTAAAAGAACAAGGTTAATAGATCTAAGCTTCGAGCACCAAATGGCAGCTAATAACACAAAAAAAGTAGGCATTATGTTCTTTCTGATGGAAAAACATAGCACCACTTATATGTGATGTAACCTTGCCCTCAAATTAAACCTCCGTGATATCACTACCAATTTACAGAAAATACAGAAGGATGTGTATGGGATGCAAATGACAGAATTTAAGTTGGAAAACTTTAGAACAAATGAAGCAGTTTCTAAGAAATAAATTGCAAGGGGCAATGGAGTGGGGGGGGAGGAACAGAGTAACAGATATTTCTAGCAATCACCATGTATGGATCGTATTTTGAAAACCTGATTAAAACTGCAAAACACATATGACTAGAAATTTGAATGCTCACTTGACACAATGTTAAGGAATTATTACTAACTTTTGGTGCAACAATGATACTGTGGTTAATTTTTTAGCTGGTCCTTAACTTTTAGAGCTATATACTGATTTATTTACTAATGAAATAATATCAGGAGAGATTATGTAGGTAAGGGTCTAAAAGAAATAAGACTGACCAGGAACTGATGATAACTGAAGCTAGTACATGGAGATCCAATTCATTATTCTGTCCTGTTTTTGTAAG